ATTTGATCTGACGTGCTATACGATTAAGCTACAAAGAGGCTTCTGGTTAGCAAAGTGGTAAAATGTGATTGCGTACGTGCTTGTGCGGTGCATAATTATTTACGAGTTGTTTATACAGTAATTATTCTATTTTAACTTTCCTCAAACAGACATTTTTTTTTAATTAAAATATCTTTAAGTTGAAGACAGACACAAAGAGATCCCGCTTTGCCGTTTCGTCCAGTTGTTTGTAGAGTAATTATTTATATTTCAGCTTTCTTCACACAAACAATATTTTAAATATTCAAAAATATTTTGAAGTTAATCTGATTTAAAAATATTTTAAATGAATAAGATTTAAAAATGCGAGTTGTTTAAACAGCATTTGTATTTTAACTTTTTTCAAACATACAGTTTTTCTAATTAAAATATTTTAAAGCGAAAGACAGACACAAAGAGATCCCGCTTTGCTGTTTTGTCCAGTTGTTTGTAGAGTAATTCAGCTTTCTTTATATAAACATTTGGCATATTAAAATATTTTTAAGTTAATCTGATTTAAATATTTTAACTGAGTAAGTTTTAAAAAAGCGAATTGTTTATGCATGACACGTGGATCTAGTACAATCTACCCCGTTGGGCGAAATGAAAGGTTCGGTTCGAAATTCCAATCACCTGAAGAAGGCCAGAGGGTACAACGGCCGAAACGATGTGAATATCGCAATGAAGATGAGTATAACAGTCTGAATAATGTAAATAAAGCGAGCAAAAAATATGGAGGCGATTAGAAAAAAGTAATAGAGGATAGACTAAAAATAGCGATCACTCAAACGTTACGCGACGTTCTCTATAAATGCGTTTCCTCTATGGTCACATGATCTAATTAATTCAATAATGGGATCGTCTGTGTTTTCTCAAAAGTGACCTGTGTTCAAACGCAAGGGTCAGCAGCCACACTTTATCTATATCTATAATTCTCAAAATGTGTGTGTGTATGTCCGTATGTGTGAACGGATGTTGTTTATGCATTTCCAAAGTTTTCATCCGATTTTGATGAATTTTTTTTTTTGATAGATAATGCTTCAGTGCCGGTTTTGAGTCCAAATTGTTGGCGATAATGGCTCTCCACTACTTCCTGCCCATTATAATTCTCAGCAACGTTCTACTATTTACTGTCTGTTCTTGGATATATATATATCTTTCATAAAAACTTTAATAAAAATAAACAGTCTGAACTATTACAATAATATTATTTATTATTATACAATCCCCTCTTCAGGGTCACTCCCCATTCAAATAGTTAACTCCCCATTTGGAGATGTGCCTCAGTTGAACCCAAATGCTTTACTAATATTGATTTTCGGGCGGGCTGAATTTAAAGTTAAACTGCTCCAATTGAACAGCAAAAATTCCCAGTAATGAAAGACCCGGGCAAAGACGGGTTATACTGCTAGTTCCTATATAACAAATAGTTTTTATCAAGTTTCAGGCTTTTTTTTTTCATCATAGAATCCTGTTTTTTTGGCGATTCCGTAGAGGTACATATACACTTTATTTAAAGCTCAAGTTTCAACTACACGTAATAAACAGGAAATGAATTACTCGTTATTACTTCCTTCAATTGTCGGCTTAAAATGATTTGACAAAACACGTTAAGTCATTAAAAAAAAAAAAAAAAAATACAGTATTTTCTTGATTACCGGGACACCTTGAGACAGGAGTTGGAAAACAGTTTGTTGGAATAATTAAAAATCCCGGATAACTGAATACGTAAATTGTCGAAAAAGAATGAAGAAAATAAAGCAATTTTCTGATAGGGATCTAACATAATATTGTAAATAGTTACAATGCCTCATCTCAGAAATATAGACAGATAGCTTTATTCCATTTATTTATTTAAAACGAAACACGTGATACAAATATAAATTCTATTATGCCATCCTTTTAATGTCAGTGAAGTATCTTTGGAAAATCTCGTCGCAAGTTTCCAGTAGAAAGAAACGCCATTGATTCATCTTTTTCGCTGGAGAACTGGTCGAAATTTAATTGGTGAGAACCAAATCGAATTGGACAAGTCAAATTTTCTCCCTTAGAAATTCAATCATCTTTTATGAACTTAGTCGTTATTTAATTTCACTAATGACTATGATTCTGTGTGATGCTTACCAAATTCCAATCGAAGACCATTTCACACCTGTAATAAAAGAATCGTAACATACACATTTAGGCGCACCTCTACTTTACGAAACAGCGTTTTAAGCGGCCTGTTTGGTGAATTAAATAGCAATGGATTAACATTCAGTGCCAAAGTCCCGTGTTCGAACCTGTTTTAAAAGTCGAGATTAGTAAGGCTAATGTTACAATAAATAGTTGCTGTATTAATCGATTTATTGATTTACGGTTTAAGTAGAGTATTGAGAGACAGAAAAAAACTTCGTTAGAAAAAAAAAAAACAAAAGATTACTGTTACTTGATATCAGTCCTCGTATAGGCCAGCGAATGGGATAATGAGGAAAGAGAGCTTGGAAAATCTGATACTCACAGGACAGATTGATGGCAAAAGAAACAGTGGAAAACAACACTTAACTTGAGTAAATGGATGACAGAACAGGGTTTAGGGGAAATATCACAAAGACAAAGATTATTTAAGAACAACAAAGAACAGGAAGTTGGGAAGAACCATGACAGCGTAAATCCTGAGGGGGCACGCCACATTAAGACGAAAGTTTTTCAGGTTGTTGGAAGCCAGAAAATATATTTAGATTGTAAGAAAATTTGGGACATAATACCGATGTATTGATACAAGCCTTTACCAGTTGTATTTGTTGAAACTAGCCTTTTCCACTTGTATTTGCTAATACAAGGATTTCCAACTTGTATTTGCTGATACTAGCCTTTCCCACTGGGATTTGCTGATACAAGCATTTTTCAATTCTATTTGAAAATACAAGCCTTTACCACTGGTATTTACTGGTCCCACTTGTATTTACTGATACAAACATTTCCCACGGGTAATTGCTGATACTAGCCTTACACACTGGAATTTGCTGATACTAGCCTTTCCCACTGGGATTTGCTGATACAAACATTTTTCAATTGTATTTGCTGATACAAGCCTTTCCCAGTTATGTTTCCTGGTACAAGCCTTTCCCACTGGTATTTGCTGATACAAGCCTTTCCCACTGGTATTTGCTGATACAAGCATTTTTCAATTGTATTTACTGATATAAGCCTTTCCCACTGGTAGTTTCTGATACAAGCATTTCCCAGTTATGTTTACTGGTACAAGCCTTTCCCACCGGTATTTGCTGATACAAGCCTTTCCCACTGGGATTTGCTGATACTAGCCTTTCCAACTAGGATTTGCTGATACAAGCATTTTTAAATTGTATTTGCTGATACAAGCCTTTCCCAGTTATGTTTCCTGGTACAAACCTTTTCCACTGGTATTTGATGATACTAGCCTTTCCCACTGGGATTTGCTGATACAAGCGTTTCCCACTGGTATTTTCTGATACAAGCATTTCCCAGTTATGTTTGCTGGTACAAGCCTTCCCCACTGGTATTTGCTGATACAAGCCTTTCCCACTAGGATTTGCTGATACTAGCCTTTCCCACTGGGATTTGCTGATACAAGCATTTTTCAATTGTATTTATGATACAAGCCTTTCCCATTGGTATTTTCTGATACAATCATTTCCCAGTTATGTTTACTGGTACAAGCCTTTCCCACTGGTATTTGCTGATACAAGCCTTTCCCACTGGTATTTGCTGATACAAGCATTTTTTAATTGTATTTACTAATATACAAGCCTTTGTTTTCCACTGGTATTTTCTGATACAAGCATTTCCCAGTTATGTTTGCTGGTAAAAAAACTTTCCCACTGGTATTTGCTGATATGTAAAGGAAACTAGGATTTGCTGATACTAGCCTTTCCCACTGGGATTTGCTGATACAAGCATTTTTCAATTGTATTTATGATACAAGCCTTTCCACTGGTATTTTCTGATACAATCATTTCCCAGTTATGTTTACTGGTACAAGCCTTTCCCACTGGTATTTGCTGATACAAGCCTTTCCCAATGGTATTTGCTGATAGTAGCCTTTCCAACTGGTATTTGCTGATACTAGCCTTTCCCACTGGGATTTGCTGATACTAGCCTTTCCCACTGGGATTTGCTGATACAAGCATTTTTCAATTGTATTTACTGATACAAGCTTTTCCCAGTTATATTTCCTGGTACAAGCCTTTACCACTGGTATTTGCTGATACAAGCCTTTCCCACTGGTATTTGCTGATACTAGCCTTTCCCACTGGGATTTGCTGATACAAGCATTTTTCAATTGTATTTTCTGATACAAGCCTTTCCCAGTTATGTTTCCTGGTACAAGCCTTTCCCACTGGTATTTGCAGATACAAGCATCGCGTCGGTGAATACAACAAACCCGACTGCTATTGCATCTCCCTTCTCCGATTTCCAATTCCCAATTCCGAACCATCATCCCTTACACCACCCGCGCATCCAATTTTACAGCACCTGCTATTCCCTAGCCGTCACCGGTCTAGGTACTCAATAGGCTTCGGTGATCCGTCGAGAACCGGTATTTCAGTGTGAAATGGCCGTAAGGCGTAACTTAGTCGAGTAGCATAAGAGTTCCCTGTGAGGTTCGAGCTCGCTATTCTTCCTAATTGGTACACCGACACACGTGCTCGGAGGCATATTTCAAAAAGCGTTCGAATCATTTACTATGGTGGCGTCGGATTTAAGTGTAAGTCGTGGCTACTGAAGAGCGAATTCTTGAAAATGGGAAAACTCGCCAGCGATTCATTATCGCAACAGAAAGAAGTTCCAGATGTTGTTACTGATTCTGACTTAATCCGTAGAATAAAAGGCGAAAGGTCATTGTCGAGATGGGGTCGAAATTTGATTCCACTGACAAAGAAGGTCAGGGGTGAATAATGAAGCCTACATAAGCATCATCAAAACACATGCTGGGGTTTGCCTATTCAAGATCAATAGATTCATCCTGAGACAGACAGATAGATAGATAGATAGATAGATAGATAGATAGATAGATACAGACTATCATAGACAGCTAGATATACAGATAGATAAAAACGGACAATGATAAATACATAGATAGATAGATAGATAGATAGATAGATAGATAGAAACAGACTATGATAGACAGATAGATAGATAGATAGATAGATAGAAACAGACTATAATAGATAGAGAGACTGTGATAGATAGAAACAAACAATGATAGATAGATAGATAGATAGATAGATAGATAGATAGATAGATATGAATACAAACATACATATAAATATTGATATTGGCACTTCGACGTGTTGTAATGGTTAGCAAGAACCATTGCGACTGAGTAGTGAATTCGATCCTCACTGTGTGCCACATCGTTTCGACATTGTGCCACATCTAAGCTACGCTTAAAAATCCGCATGAAAATAGTGTGATAAATACAGACCTATATATGTCTGTGTTTGTGCTTGTCGTGAGATAAAGAAAAGACAGAAGGAAAGACTGATAAATTTCTACAGACGTATATAAGAAATAGATTGTGACAGATAGATAGATAGATAGATAGATAGATAGATAGATAGATAGATAGATAGAATACTCGGTGGTATGCAAATAGATTAAAATGTGCTTTTCTTTAAAACAACGGGCGACAAGGCAATGTGCACATGGCACCTCAAATATGGCCTCCAGTATTCTCCTGTGTTCAACCACCTCACAAATGTAAGTACCACGTTTCATCTTGTTCAGCTTTGGCATGAAAAAAGAAAGAAAGATGGAATAACATCACCGATCAAATAAAAAGTTAAAGTTGAACGTGTCTGGAATTGAAAAAAAATGTGTTTAGTGATCAGCGTGGCTTCATGCAAAGTTGGGTAAATATTTACGCGAAGGTCCCAGTTAATTTCATTCTAGATGGAAGAAGCAATGTACAAGACAGGATTATATAAGAATAAGAAGATGCCTTCAATAAACAGTCGATGCAATAACAGAGGTCTGAGGTAAACCCTTAATATATATACACACACACACACACAGTTAGACATATATATATATATATATATATATATATATATATATATATATATATATATATATATATATATATATATATATAGTTGTATATTTAGGCAGCAATCCTTTCTTTATGCATATTTCATTAAAAACGACAGACAAGGTACTACGGTTGGAATTTATTTAATTTTTTTGCGTTCGAACAAGAGCTTTCTTTTCTGGACTGGTGTAAAGAACTGTCCAAATGTTTTATATTTCCGGAGCGCTTTTTTATACCTTTTAGCCATTATCAAGGATGATTCGATTTTTCAGCTTAATTGAGGTGTGCGTTCTGTGTATGTCTTAGTGTGTGGTAGGGATGTTTTTAATTTCCGAATACGGTTAGCATGATTTGTGGTTTTGTTTATAGTTAATATTGTTAAGAGTTGGCTTTTTGGAGTTTTTTGTTAAAGCTTCCATTAATAGATAGTCTTTTTTTAGTCTGAAAATAATGGAAGCTTTAATGAAAAAAAAAAAAAAACCTCAACTATAAAAATATTAACAGGAATATACACACCCTTTGTCCAGAAAAGAAAGCTCTTGTTAGAACACAAGAAAAATTAAATAAAAGCTTAACTGTAGTACCTTGTCTGTCGTTTTTAATGAACCACACACACACACACACACACACACATATATATATATATATATATATATATATATATATATATATAAATATGTATGTACTGCAACCGACATACGCTTGTTCTTATCCTAGAGCGAGCAAAGTCTATCTATTCTATGACCAGAAATAAATAAATAGATGGATCGAATGGCATGAACAGAGATATCTAGATACATCGAATAACGTGAAGATAGATAAATAGATAGATATGGACACGGTGAGATAGATAGATAGATAGATAGATAGATAGATAGATAGATAGATAGATAGATATGAACAGACTGAGATAGATATGAACAGAGTGGTATAGATAGATAGATAGATAGATAGATAGATAGATAGATAGATAGATAGATAGAAAGTAACAGACTATGACAGAAAGATACATAGAAATGGATTGTGATAGATAGATTGATATGAATATGCTGAGATAGACTGATATATAGTTAGAATGACATGAATAGCGATATATATATATATATATATATATATATATATATATATATATATATATATAGATAGATAGATAGATAGATAGATAGATATGGACAGGCTGAGATTGATAGATAGATGTGAATACGCAGATAGACTTCTATATAATCAGAATGACATGAATAGATATAGATAGATAGAAACAGACTATGATAGAAAGATACATAGAAATGGACTGTGATAGATAGATACATTGATATGATTATGCAGAGATAGTGAGACTGATATATAGTTAAAATGGTATGAATAACGATATATATATATATATATATATATATATATATATATATATATATATATATATATATATATATATCTTCACAGAACCGTCATTTACGCTGACGTGCCTTAACCGACTCGGCCACAAAGGAGCTCTGGCGTATTATAAACAGAGCATTTACTTAAATACTTGTATCTATAAAAAAAAAAAGAACGTTAAACATAAAAATGTCTTTAATAAAATAAATTGTCGGACTTTGTCCATTTCTTAATATATGACGTCATTTGTTTACATTTGATACGCCAGAGCAGTTATGAATGTACGAGATTCATGGAAGATTGAAGTTTATAAGCAGTAAATTCGACCTTGCCTACCGAACGCCCTTTGTGGCCGAGTCGGTTAAAAACGTCAGCGTAAATGACGGTTCCATATATATATATATATATATATATCGCTACTCATAGATATATAGATAGATAGTCTACTGCAGACACCGGTAGGGATTAAGCTAGTAGTATAAGTACCAAATGATACTGAGTCAGCATGAAATATTTTCTTTAATTTTAAATCATTTCACGCAATATTTATACATTAAGGACGAACTCTAGAGAAATATCTCATGGGAAACATTTGCTTCTCATCTTCTTCTCCTGTGTTTGTTTGTCAAATTGATAGAAATTTATGTATTTATCTCTTTTAGAAATTTATCTCTTTTATAATGTTTAATTTCGTATTTAGGTGTATCGCTTTTCATTTTAGGCAATGGCAGACTGGGTCTAAAAATATTAGTTGCCAGTTTACGAAGGGCACACACCCGCAACTACAATACTATCATTAATTTTCAAGAAATTTTCAAATTTGAAGGTTCCTCGTGAAAATAAAACGTCACAAAACAAAAATGATGTAATTATATATATATATATATATATATATATATATATATAAAACAGAAGATGTCTGTGTGGCTGTGTGTCAGTCCGTCTGTTTGTCTGTGTGACACTTTTTCCTTTGAGATCCTTCCAACCGATTTTGACCAAACTTGGCACATATATTGTGCAATGCAAGAAATAGGTTCTTAGCGTAAAAAATCGATAGTTTTTTTAAAAAATCAATAACCGATAAAGCCGATCAAAATCGATAAATTTAAGCATTTTTTCCTCCGATTTCGTTTAAACTCGCTATGTAGGTTACTTACATCATGACAAGCTCAACGATACCTCATTTTTTTTCTACACCACTGCGTTTACCGAAAAAACGCGAAAAACGAAAAATCGATTTCAACACAAATCGATTTCAACACAAATTTTAAACTAAAAACTTCCTCAAATTTTAAGCAATCTAATACAAATTTTGGCTCAATTGTAGCCAACAATATGTTGATTGTTTTAGTCATTTAACTTGATAATTGAGTCCACCCATATCGTGAAAACCTGTGCAAATAGCGAGAAATGGCTGGTTTCTTTCTTATTTTTCGTTGATCTTTCAACCAATTTTCATCAAACTTAACAATTGCTTTATAAATGTATCCACTAGCACACTTACAAATTGAATTTCAAAAACTCTAAAATAATTGTGGTCTGAAGTGAGTGTTCATGTTGCCTGTTTTACCCCTTCATGTTCTTGGCTAACTTTGAATGAATACAGCCTACTACTGTTATATCAGTCGGCGTCGGCGTCGGTGTCGGCATCCGTCCGTCTCGAGAGACGATGGAGTAGCGCGGTGCGCTACGAGCCTGGGCGGGATATATGGAGAACTAGGGCTGCCCAGACTTCTAGTTCCTCCTCTCGGCCTTTGCTAGCAGAGTCCAAAGGAGAAAATAAACCAATACAGTTTGGTACCAGCGCGGCTACAGGAGTTACCGGAAAATAGAAGAAAGTGCCGTCCATCCGCCTTAGGGGCTTCACTCCGGGTTTGAATTCAGAGTTGTCCTTCTCCTAGACCACTTGCCATCCAAGGCTATAGAACCTAGTCTGTCCTGCTATTTACCCATAGCTGGGGGGAGAAGAAGAAGATCTACACCTTTCTCAAGGGTATTAGCAAGTAAGTGAATGTAATGGATTCGACTGGAATTCGAACTCTGCCCGCCGATTCCTCAATCCTTATCCTTTACTCCATCGTGCCTCCTCTGCTTATATAAGTAACTGCATTAATTCAAAATGTTTTTTTTTAAATGAAAGTACTTTAACGTAATTGAAGAAGATAAACTCTGTTACATCTAAACATGATGCTGTTTTTGCTCCATTCTAATTGAACGCTTTTTCCGATCAATCCAGTTGGGTATGACTGCTAGTGTACAATAAAATAAAGAAGAGAAAACGTTTCAACATTCATTTGAACTATAGTCAGTAAAAGACAATGTGAACTATAGTTCGGAAAAGGAACAGCCTTTTTAAAACCTGTAGCGGAGTTATAACTCCGAGTGAAAACTTATAAACCCTCGAACAATTACGTATAGAAAATTATTCGTAAAAATGAGCAACATCAAGACAAAACAAGTCTGGTTGTTATGTGATGTTGAAGACAAGAGAGACAGTAATACTGAGTAAAGTTGTGAGTTTGGGGTCAAATGTAGATCAAATATGGATCGAAATCCGACAGAATGATAAAGAATTAGCAAAGTGTATACAGTCTTTTTTGTATGTTTTTTTTTTTAGATATGTGTATAATGAATGTCCAGATAATTTAGTTAGAAAACACAAGTGTCTGGGGTTTTATTAACTCGGATTTACTTACCTCGGTTTTTTAAATGATAAATGTTAACATTATGGCCTGAAAAGGAAAAAAAAAGAGATTAATTTTTCGTTGACGCACGTGCTAACGACCTTTCCATGTGAACTGCTTGTCCGATAGCGAGCATGTTACGTGTTTGTGTGTGTAGAAGAGAAAAGTGGGGTCGATTCTCATTGGTTTAGAATGAGTGAATTAACCATAATTAGAATTGTTATAATTATTTTATTGCAAGTATTTTTGACACTATAATTAATGATTTTTTTTTTATTTATTTTTATGGACACGAAAAACTGTTAAAAAGAGTCCAATCATGGAAAAAAAAAGAATCCATACGAAAGTTAGGCGCTGTTAGATCTGTTTAACTTGGTTGCTACCGATGCGTCTTTTGGTTGATTATTCCAGTTTGCGAAGAATTCTAGAACGTCTTTTGGTAACGGTTGAATAAATTGAATGAGGCACGATATATTTTCCTAGCTTCATGTTAGGAATAAGATAAAACAAGTTCGCCTCGAAAGTCCTTGACATCTTAGTAAGTTCAGATTGCATTGGATGTGGCTGAAGGGAGTAAACATCTAAAGATTTCACACGAGCGCATCGCGCCGTAAACATTGAAAAGAGAAATTATCATTGTCAAGGAACAAATATGAGAAGAGATACAGAAGTGTCCACGGAACCTTTACAGCTGGAAAAGGTTAGCAAGGACAAAATATCATGTTATTTGTCAAACCTAACTGCCTTTCATGCCCGTTGCATATACATACACATAAGCAAACATCGAGATATTTCCAGCCGAGGCGAATAAGTACAATAGTTATCGAATGTTGATTTTTAAAGGAAATACTTTTTTTTTACAACCAATAAATATAATTGTGACGACAAAAGTACGCAGGTGTAGATTTTAAGAAAGCTTTATGCAACTGAGAATACAAGGTTTATCGTCCCAGTAAACAGAAATAGCTCTCTCAAAGTGGAGAGTAAAAAAACAAGGGGAGACCACTCTTGATTATTCATAATAATTAGTCGCTGATATTTGAGTCTATAAGCGATGACGTGATGGCTAAATATTGGTCGTTTAAATTTGAGTCTCTAAACATTGATTTAGTTTGGGTATAGGTAAATATTGATTGTTTTATTTGAGTCTATAGGCATTGACGTGGTTCAGGGATGGCTAAATATTGGTCATTTAAATTTGAGTCTCTAAACATTGATTTAGTTTGGGTATAGGTAAATATTGATTGTTTTATTTGAGTCTATAAGGATTGACGTGGGTCAGGGATGGCTAAATATTGGTCATTTAAATTTGAGTCTCTAAACATTGATTTAGTTTGGGTATAGGTAAATATTGATTGTTTTATTTGTGTCAATAAGCATTGACGCGGGTCAGGAATGGCTAAATATTCACCAATTAAATTTGAGTCTCTAAACATTGATTTAGTTTGTGTATAGGTAAATATTGATTGTTTTATTTGAGTCTATAAGCATTGACGTGGGTCAGGGATGGCTAAATATTGGTCATTTAAATTTGAGTCTCTAAACATTGATTTAGTTTGGGTATAGGTAAATATTGATTGTTTTATTTGTGTCAATAAGCATTGACGCGGGTCAGGAATGGCTAAATATTCGTCATTTAAATTTGAGTCTCTAAACATTGATTTAGTTTGTGTATAGGTAAATATTGATTGTTTTATTTGTGTCAATAAGCATTGACGTGGGTCAGAGATGGATAAATATTGGTCATTTAAATTTGAGTCTCAAAACATTGATTTAGTTTGGGTATAGGTAAATATTGATTGTTTTATTTGTGTCAATATCCTCTTCGCGGGTCAGGGATGGCTAAATATTGGTCATTTAAATTTGAGTCTCTAAACATTGATTTAGTTTGGGTATAGGTAAATATTGATTGTTTTATTTGAGCCTAAAATAAATGAAATAATGATCTCTGAGAAAAAAATGGAAGGATCTAGGTGCGACATAAATAACTGCACTGATTTAGATTTTGACATTGATGAAGCTGCATCAAACGACATTAGAACAGAATTCATTGAAAGCAACAGAGTTGAAAGAACTGAACCGAGAAACTAGATTATTCAAATAATCGGCAAAATATCTCACACACAAATGTCAGAAAGCGACCTACTTCCAAAAAGTCCAAGAAACATTTTTCAAACGTATAACGCTGCATTGCAAGCATTGCTAACGGACAGACAATTGTAAAACCTCACAGAAAAAAAATCATATGTGCA